TTGGCGTAGGCGCTGGCGTTCGGGCGCAGGGCGTATAAAACCGTACGGGCGGAATTCGGTCTGGTTTAGGGTTCCGGAGTGGAAACGCTGATGGTTTTTTCCCTTTCTCCTAGGGGGAAACGTCGGCCATCCAACGACGGGGGCCAGCAAGAACTGAAGTGCTGCTGGTACGTACAGGATGGGAACGACGAACTTCATCGCCCCGGCACCCTGCCTGCCTTGAGGACTGTCACCCCGCCTTCCACCGAAGCCCCCAAGTCGCGCCGGGTGCCGGAAACGCTAATCCTCTCGGAAGTGGTTGACTGGGACAGGATGTGCGGACAATGATGATGGCAAGAAAGCAAGATGTTCGCATTCCCACCTATAACATTAGCGTGGTGGGATTGTCCGGGACGGAGAAGGAGAAGGGGCAGTGCGGCATTGGGAAATCCTGCCTTTGCAACCGGTTTGTGCGGCCCAGCGCGGATGAGTTCCATTTGGACCACACTTCGGTTCTCAGCACCAGTGACTTTGGGGGAAGGGTGGTCAATAATGACCATTTCCTCTACTGGGGGGAAGTTGTGCGTTCCCTGGAGGACTGCGTGGAATGTAAAATGCATGTCGTGGAGCAGACGGAGTTTATCGACGACCAGACCTTTCAGCCTCACCGCAGCACGGCCCTGCAGCCCTATATCAAGAGGGCTGCCGCGACCAAACTGGCGTCGGCTGAAAAGCTCATGTACTTTTGCACTGATCAGCTTGGACTGGAACAGGACTTTGAACAGAAACAGATGCCGGACGGAAAGCTGCTGGTGGATGGCTTTCTCCTCTGCATTGACGTTAGCAGGGGCATGAACAGGAACTTTGATGATCAGCTCAAATTTGTTTCCAATCTTTACAATCAACTAGCGAAAACAAAAAAGCCCATCGTGGTGGTCCTGACGAAGTGTGACGAGGGCGTGGAGCGGTACATTAGGGATGCACATACTTTTGCCTTAAGCAAAAAGAACCTCCAGGTCGTGGAGACGTCGGCTCGATCCAATGTGAACATTGACTTGGCTTTCAGCACCTTAGTGCAGCTGATCGATAAAAGCCGGGGAAAGGCTAAAATCATCCCCTACTTCGAGGCTTTGAAACAGCAAAGCCAACAGATAGCTGCTGCGAAAGACAAGTACGAGTGGCTGGTCAGCCGCATCGTCAAAAACCACAACGAGACCTGGTCGAACGTGAGCCGCAAGATGCAGTCCTCCCCGGAGTATCAGGATTACGTCTACCTGGAAGGAACGCAGAAAGCCAAAAAGCTCTTCCTGCAGCATGTCCACCGCCTCAAGCAGGAGCACATAGAGCGCCGGCGGAAGATGTATCTCGCCGTGCTTCCGCAAGCGTTGGAAGCCCTCATCCCCGACCTAGACGAAATAGATCACCTGAGCTGCGTGAAAGCGGAGAAGCTCTTGGAGACGAAGCCGGACTTTCTGAAATGGTTTATTGTCCTGGAAGAGACGCCCTGGGATGCCACCAGCCACATCGACAACATGGAGAACGAGCGCATTCCCTTCGACCTGATGGAGACCCAGCCCGCTGAGCAGCTCTACGAAGCTCACTTAGAAAAGCTGAGGAACGAGAGGAAAAGGGCAGAAATGAGAAGAGCTTTCAAAGAAAACCTGGAGACTTCCCCTTTCATCACGCCCGGGAAGCCCTGGGAGGAAGCGCGCAGTTTCATTATGAACGAGGATTTTTACATGTGGCTGGAGGAGTCTGTTTATATGGACATCTACAGCAAGCACCAAAAACATATTATAGAGAAGGCCAAGGAGGAGTTCCAGGAGCTGCTCTTGGAGTACTCGGAGCTGTTTTACGAACTGGAGCTCGACGCCAAGCCCAGCAAGGAGAAAATGGGCGTCATCCAGGATGTGCTGGGGGAAGAGCAGCGGTTCAAAGCCCTGCAGAAGCTGCAGGCTGAGCGGGACGCCCTGATTTTGAAGCACATCCACTTTGTGTACCACCCGACGAAGGAAACCTGTCCCAGCTGCCCGGTTTGCGTCGACTCTAAAATTGAGCAGCTGATCAGCTCCCGCTTCATCAGGCCCTCCGAACGCAACCAGAAGAACTTGCTGTCGGACTCCAACATCGATAGGATCAACCTGGTGATCCTCGGCAAGGACGGCTTGGCGCGCGAGCTGGCCAACGAGATCCGGGCGCTCTGCACCAACGACGACAAGTACGTCATCGAAGGGAAGATGTACGAGCTGTCCCTGAGGCCGATCGAGGGCAACGTCCGGCTCCCCGTTAACTCTTTCCAGACACCCACCTTTCAGCCTCACGGTTGTCTGTGCCTTTACAACTCGAAGGAGTCGCTGTCCTATGTGGTGGAAAGCATCGAGAAGAGCAGAGAGTCGACCATCGGCAGGCGGGATAATCACTTGGTTCACCTTCCCCTGACGCTCATCCTCGTTAACAAGAGGGGGGACACCAGCGGCGAGACGCTGCACAGCCTGATACAGCAAGGCCAGCAGATTGCCAGCAAGCTGCAGTGCGTCTTTCTGGACCCCGCGTCTGCCGGCATCGGGTACGGCCGTAACATCAACGAGAAGCAGATCAGCCAGGTTTTGAAGGGGCTGCTGGACTCGAAACGCAACTTAAACCTCGTCAGCTCGACCTCCAGCATCAAAGACCTGGCAGACGTCGACCTGCGGATCGTCATGTGCTTGATGTGCGGGGATCCGTTCAACGCCGACGACATCCTTTTGCCCATCCTTCAGTCGCAGACCTACAGACCTTCACAGTGCGGCAGCAGCAGCTCCGTCCTCCTGGAGTTATCCATCGGGCCGCACAAGAGGCGCGTGGAGCTCTCCCTCCTTTCCTACCATTCCTCCTTCAGCGTTCGGAAAAGCCGTCTCATCCACGGGTACATCGTCTTCTACTCGGCGAAACGGAAGGCGTCCCTGGCCATGCTGCGTGCCTTTCTCTGCGAGGTGCAGGATATCATCCCCATCCAGGTCGTGGCGCTCACGGACGGCTCCATAGACATCCTGGACAACGACGTGAGCAGGGAGCAGCTCAGCGAGGGGGAGGAGATCGCCCAGGAGATCGACGGCAAGTTCACCACGATACCCTGTAGCCAGCCGCAGCACAAGCTGGAGATCTTCCACTCGTTTTTTAAAGACGTGGTGGAGAAAAAAACCATCATCGAAGCCACCCACATGTACGACAACGTGGCCGAAGCCTGCAGCACGACGGAGGAGGTGTTCAACTCGCCGCGGGCGGGCTCCCCGCTCTGCAACTCCAACCTGCAGGACTCGGAGGAGGACGCCGAGCCCCCCACCTACAGCCCCTTCAGAGAGGACACGTCCATGCCCGCCCTGCCCAAAGACCACTCGAAGCTTTCCATGGAGCTGGAGGGGAACGACAGCTTGTCTTTCATTTCCGTCATGAGCACTTTTGAGAACAAGCTGAACAACAAAGTACCTCCCCCGGTAAAACCAAAGCCCCCAGTGCATTTTGACATTTCCAAGGGGGACCTGTCGTATTTGGAGCAGGGGCATCGGGACGGGCAGCGGAAGTCCATGTCTTCTGGCGGCTGGTTGCCCGCCGACTGCTTCGATCCTTCCGATTACGCCGAGCCGATGGATGCTGTGGTCAAACCCCGAAACGAAGAGGAGAACATCTACTCCGTGCCTCACGACAGCACCCAGGGCAAGATCATCACCATCCGAAACATCAACAAAGCCCAGTCGAACGGCAGCGGCAACGGCTCGGACCCAGCTCGCTGGAGCGGGGCCGCAAGGTGTCGGTCGTCAGCAAGCCGGTGCTGTATCGGACGCGCTGCACCAGGCTGGGCCGGTTCGCCAGCTACCGAACCAGCTTCAGCGTTGGGAGCGACGACGAGCTGGGGCCCATTCGAAAGAAAGAGGAAGACCAGACTTCCCAAGGGTATAAAGGTGATAACGCCGTTATCCCCTACGAAACGGCGGACGGGGAAGATCCGAGGAGGAGGAACATCCTGCGCAGCCTGAGGAGGACAACGAAGGTAGGCCGGTGCTGTCTGCCCGTCGCTCGTGGGATTCGCGGGGTAGAGGTCGGGCCGTACCGCCAGGCGTAAAGCCTG